CATACAATCACCACCTCTACCATAAATACTGTCATTACAAAAGATTTTATAAACTTGTATCCGAACAATGTGCATGGCGTCTTTGCTGAACACAACGATTCTGTTATTACTACTATATCATGAGAAGAAAGGTGCAGAATATTACGCAAAGTGCATTTCATTTAACAATAAACAAGAATTAATTAACAGTAAGTGCAGTGTCTTGTTATCTGTTGCGTTATCTACAGAAATCCAGATATAGGGCTCGAACGAGGTGGTACTTAGAGAAAGCGGAGTGGGGGTGGTGGATAGGAAGGACATTTAATCTGCGGAATTAGTTTCACTTGGGGGTATGGCGGGTAAAACGCCACTGGACCTCAAAAAATGGTCGGAAAGGCGAAATACTTAGACTGCAGTTTACTGGCTGTTGCATATGACATACCTGCCTGTTAATGTTATTTACATGTTGAGGAAGATTGCGAGGATTTTAGTTGGGCCAAAGTCTCTCAGCTATGTGAATTTCAGTAGCAAGTGGCTCACAATTTATGGAGTACACAGGTTGTATATTCAAATGCTGAGCGGCTGGTGATATGCCGATTGTCTGCAGATTTCCAGTGGTTACAGCGTTTGGTGGAACGTATGAAAGTGCAGTGTTTCTATTCTGCTTATAAGTGCTCGTATAGATGCCAAGTGAGGTTTGCTAACATTGTTATTTACAAGAAGGCTGTTCTTCAACATTTTATCTTTCAGAAGTGCATAGCCTTTTGGAGAGGAATTTCTATTTGCATGCCAAATGAGTGTTTGTTTTCAGAGCAACTATGCTCCTGGTTGGTGAACGACAAAGGGTGAGTAGAAATAGGCGTTTACACAATGGAACTTTCTTGTATGTTCAGGGCGAGTTACACAGTAATGGTGTGCTAAAGTGGCACTGAGTGGAGTCAGAAGGGATATTTTTCGACAGTTGCTATTTGATTTCAACCTTAGAGTTGATTCCTTTGTGTTCAACTTGTCAATTAGGCTGAGCAGTTGGGGAAATTCCCGAGTTTCCGTGGGCAGCGGAAAAAATTGATCACAAACTGTTTGTCGGTAATGGGCTATTTTGCATTCTCTTTGTAGCACTGTTAAATCTGGTTTCGGTACCATCGAAATGTACTCATCCCTAAGTGATAGTACGCCCCTACTACGAATGCATTTTTCAGCTAGTGTTTCGTTTGAAAATTTAAAAGTATTAGGCAGACCTACTTCGGAGATCTCTTTCGCAGCCACACGCAAGTAAACTGCAGTCTTTTAATAAGATATCGTTGGGCACTACTGAAGAGATAGCCCCAAGTGTTAACTTTGCTAGTAAATGAAATGATATTACATTTTTAGAGTGTGTAATACACTCATGAACCTCAATTGCAACATGTTCTGTAAAATTCCAAACGGGTCGGTGATCCGTTTTTGGTGTATCTGTAGTGTTAAAAAGATACATAAACGAGTTTAATTGCTCTAGGACTTCGTGAAGAGGTTCAAAACTTTCCTTCAACTTATTCAGCTGTAGTTCAAGCGCAGCAATCATTTGAACCGCTTTAGATGGCGATATTACATTAAATGCGCTATACACTAACAGGGAAACATTATGAGAGATATCATTAGATTGTTTTCATTCTTGCGCGCGATTCGAAGTTATTTAAAAGATGGTCCTTTCACAGTTTCCGTGCAAATAGACTGGTTATAAACAGGACATTTTCTCAGTGCTTCAGTGGCTTTCTGTAACTTCTTCGAGTTTCTCGATTTAAATGGAGTAACGAGCGTATTTTATGATAGTCACTCTGTGTTAGGGCTTGTAAAACATATTTTATGTGAACAAGTATTAAACAATAGAGAACAAAGTGTACCGTTTCAGTTACAGTGATCGAGACGAGCCAGCTACCGGTAAATTGCCGAGGATACGAACTAGGATTTTGGGGCTTATACGACCTATCTAAAGTGCACGAGAATTACACTGGGGTGCAAAAATGCCACTGTTTCCGATGAAACGATCAATACAAACTAAATGGACTAAAGCGCGCTCAATTCTCCAAATTCCGCCAAGGATAGTTTGTCCTTCAGTAATCAACCGCTCTGTGCACAGGTAGCCCTGCGGTCAACTCCGTGGCATGCCGCGTCACGTTATGCCGCAAGTTCCGGAAAGTAATCACATACAAGAGATTTGCGTGCGTTCGATAGAACACGATTCGCAATGCGGCGTGAAAGCACGTGGTCAATGAAAGCAGTGTAGGAAGATGCAGTTGTTCCTAGCCGCCTTATGCAGCTACCGATAGAGTTGGTTTAGGTCTCTTGAAGTAAACCTCGCAATATGCTTTCCGATAATTCCAAGAATCTTGATGAGGGTAGAAAAGTGATGCACTCGTAGGCGACCGACTGCTGGAAAACAGTCAACATTGAAAACCGGCGTTCAAGGATGTTCCGTCACTAGTACCCTTGAGAAAGTTTGTGCCATGGGAAGACCTGATCGAGCCAGATCGAATGAGTATACCCAGACCGATGTGCGAAAAATTTAAATCCGAAAACTTGCAGTCAGGAGCAACGAAAATATTCCGACCAGCACATCACGGCAATTATGGCACCCAGATTTCGATTAGTGCGCCCATCGTAGCTGTCATCGCAGCTACAGGTGAATTTTTGTAAGCAATCGGACCTACACTGCTTCGATAGATGTCTTTACTGAATACTAGTGGTCTTGTGTTCACGAGCAAGCGTAGCTCGGCTGCGTCGTGTGGTTTTTCATTTACGCGCTTATATTTTTTCAGCGACTTGGATGAGGTAGGCACATTTGGAAGGCCATTCAATGAAAACCTATTGCTTTTGAACCGTTATCTCACGATCGCTTTTCATCAACTCACTGTAGAGCTTTAGGAATAGCAATTGATAGACATTAGATTGTAACACGTCAAAAAGAGCTCTTCCTCTGCCTCCAGTTTGTGTGTGTGTGGTGCAGATCATATGAGCACGATGGAACAAGGTTCTAACTAAAGAGCGTTTGTGATGGATTGGCAGGAAACTCCTAAAAATGTAAGTATTTTCTTGTCCAAGTCGTCTTCCTGCAGACATGTATTTCACGAGCCATCGTGTCGTCGTGTGAGCAATGTTTAAGTATGGGATACAACTGGTGTGCTCAATTCCACAGCTCACAGTAAAATTCTGATGCACACCATTGAGCACTTTGATCCAAGTCAAAGATTAACCATATATCATCAACATGGCGTTTATAAATAAATAAATAATGAACAAATAAATTGTTTGCTTCTCAATGTTGCGAGGCACAGTCCAACTGAGTGGCCTGATCAATCTGTGCAACAACATCGCATAAAATAATTAATTATACTTGCTTTGTATGCAGAATCTCACATGGTTTTTGAAGTGATTGATAGTCTGAAGATATCAGAGTGATTAATATGATAACAATAACAAATGCAGATTTAGCTAGCAGTTCAATTGAATTAATAATGTAAATCAATTAGCTGTGCGGACTTGATGGTGCACAAAATAACAGTATCATCACACAGACTTCGTCTTCAGATATTCTTATCTGAAATTATAAAGTGAAATTATGTTTCAAGATTTTAACATTAATACAAAATTCCTCATTTGTCTCTGTATAAAAAGACACGGGATTCCTCACAGAACCATACGTATGGGACCTCTACTATCCTCCACGTGGAATCCGATACCAACCAAAATGTGCACCCAACCTTAAGAACCATCGGTGGGGTGAACGCGATTGTGACAACTGCATGAATGAAATCTACTATTCCAAGTAAGATCCAAAAGAATTACTAGCATTGCATTAAACGGACCATAATCGCGTTCAGGTCTAATTAGTTCATGATCACATCAGGTCCTAAAACGTTTAACGCATATACTACAATAAGGAGCAGGCTTAAACCTTGGTTGGCTTAAAACTTTCATGCAGTAGAGTGATAGGTATCTCCAATGAAGGGCATTCTGTGGTTGATTTCAGTGTCTAAACGACACTTACCTATTCTCGTTAACTCCGTTACCAAAAATCAAACCAGTAATACAAAAATACCAAAAGCACCGGATGCAGCTTCGCCCAAAATGGACGGAATCAGAGGCGTTGCAAACCAGGGAGAGGGGAGCGGCGGTCCAACATGGGCGGCATATAAAGGCGCGGCAATTTTCATACAGATGAACGATAAATGCAAAGTGCCGAAGCAGAGCCTTGACCTTAACATCGTGGGACTGTTTGCGTGCCACTTCGACCAGTTCAGCAATGATAGGTGGTGCAAAGGCGATAAATACCAGCAAAACTAACAGGTTAGTCAAAGGTTAGAGGTCAGACAAATTCAGTCTCCTGGTCCTCAAAGTTGGGGCTTGCAATGGGACGGCGTCCATTTCCGTAAAACTAAACCATTGCCAACTCCCCGCTGTCTTGGGGACAGGCTTTTGCATCAATGGTTTTTGTGGAGGATCACAATCGTCCTGCTGTCTAGGTCTAGGCACCCTGGCATTATCTCAGCCCACATGCAACCATGACAAATTCTCCAAACGCTAACTATATCCTGCAACATCCGTTGAGCAGATTATCAAGGGCCGACTTAACTGTTGCATACAGCAGGGCGGATGAGCGAAAACATGCTACTAATGGCGCCTCCCTTACTCCCATCCCGACACATATCACTAACCTTTCTTCTAGAATTCGCAGCTTAAATGCCAGCAACCGAAGTGCCACTGGAGTCACAACATCTGCAGCCACCTTCACGCAATACGCACCGAACGCATATCGCCAACCTGTCCCTTATAATGCCACGCTATCAAGTTTCCCTGGCTGCCTTCAACATTTGCACTCTAAGACGAGTAGATCGGCAGGCTGCACTCGCACGCACGTTGGACACACTGGGTATTGAGGTATGTTTTATGTCCGAAACTAGGATCAATGACACTAATGGGGTGGTTGAATTAACTACGCCCGGCTTGTCCTCCCGCTATTGTTTGCACGCATCCGGAGACGCCGATGCAACACTCACGGGTCAAGCTGGCTTATATATCATTCGCAGCTCCAAAGCTGAGCCATTATTGCCTGATTGGATTCCGGTGAACAGCCGTTTGTGTGCACACCGTTTGACGACATCAACTAAGGTTGATTCACGAAGTAGTACAAGATGCTGTTTGTTTGCGAACTCCGCTTATTCTGTCACCGGCTGCAGTTCTGATGCTGCCAAGGACACATTCTATCACGAAGTGAACGCGCTACTACGCAATGTTACTAGTTCGGACATTACTATACTTGCAGTTGGTATGAACGTATAAGTATGGTGTCTGAGCTCTTCAGAAGCTCAGCTGGGTTCTAATTATGGGCTTAACTGCGAACGAACTGACAACAGCGAGCGTCTGTTACAACTGTGTGCGGAGCACCAGTTGTTTCTTAGTGGCACTGTTTTTAGACATAGTTGGCGCCGAAGCGCCACTGCGAGCCCTGCTGTAGCTGGCCAGCGATGGACCCAAATTGATCACATATCCATAAATTACAGGTGGCGTGGTTACATCCTGGATTGCTGCTCATTTTGGAATACATGCGTTCCCTCTGATTATACCTTGGTACGTTGTCATTTGTGCATGGACAGTACCGGGAGGCGCACCAAGAAATCCTGGTGGACCAGTCGAGGTCAAGAAATGGAGGAAGCAGGAGCGGTGGGCAATTACCACAAGCTCTTCTAGATGCTCTGCACCACAGGTCCTAGCAAACCGGGAATCAAGGAGATAACCAGAGACAGTGCGGTACTCTGATACGCTATACGACCGAACAAGTCCCTACTAGTTTAGAGATTATCAGGCATACATAGTACCTGTCCAAGCCAACGTTACTTATTTAATGTTACCTGTTGTTCTAAGGAAATAGCTTGGTTATCACTGCCTAGTACTTTCCCACGCACATCATCATTGCGAACACGTTGGTGCCCTTTGACACCAGAAATGCTCCGCAGCGAACAATGATAGAAGACTTGAAGCGTCTCAGATCTTCTTACCGAAGGGGCAAGTCTCACTCCAATATTGCAGGACTGCCCTTATTGAGGCCTTGTAAACACGGTCTTTCAAGCAGAGGGAAAACTCTTTCCGTCGCTAAAGGTGCGGCACGTTAAATAAGGCAGTTTTGAATTTCACAATGCATGAACAAATTTCAGTTTCCATCGGCCCATGATTACTGACGCAGTTACCAAAGAAAGTGAATCGATCAGCGACTTCGAGTACCTTGTTATTGAGGACCAAGGTAGTCCTGCAACAACACTTTGTCCTTTGAAATTGCGAAACGCATAGCAAATAATAAGATCATCCTAGAGACATTATTCAGGGTTGATTGTACCTTCGCGACATCGTTAAACAGCCAGACGATATTGTCCGCATAATCAAGCTCAACGAATCTTTCACCAGGCAGGACCACTAGGCATACATCGTTAGATTCCGTGGGGTAACACACTATGAAACATTCCACTATGAAATTGAACAAAAACGGGGATATCTGACAACCCTGACGTAAGCCACTTTGGTCGGAAAACATCCGACAGGTCACCGTAGACCCTCACGCGACATGTAGCGTTTTAGTATAGAGGAAGTAAGGTGTTCACATGTTTCATTGGAACATATTTATGCGCAAGTATTTCGAACAGGATGTATTGTTCGACTGAATAGAACGCACACTTGAATTTGAGGAATACAGCTATTGTCATTCTGCGGCATTCGTGGCGCTGCACTAACAACATGCAGAGTGAATATATGGTCTATACAGTTCCGTCCTGGGCGGAAACCCTCCTGACCTTCCCTTATCCGTTATTGTCGCTCCACAGTGGGGCGACGAACGAGAACCAAATCCAGTGATTTTGTCACAACTAGCGTTATGCTCATACACCTGTGGGTAACACATTCAGTGCAACTGCACTTATTGCTTTTTGCTACTATAATAAATTCACTCCAGTTAGCCGGGACACTTTTCCTACCAGATATGTTCGAATAGAGAAATATGTATTTTGCAGGGGACATCACATCCATCCTTAAATAGTGCAGGTGGGAGGGAATCCGGTCGCGCGACACCAAAACGACTGAGGGACGTGATCGCGTTTCAGAAGACAGCCTCCAATGGAGCACCACAAATAACCGGCCATGGCTCTTCCTGCATCACCTGAGTAGGTAGTGGTCCTGGAGCAGGCGGCCAACTGGACTGATCTTGAAAGTGTACGGCCAACAAAATATAAGGTACTCATTACTGCGGATCAGAGTACCGCACTGTCTCTGGTTATCTCCTTGATTCCCGGTTTGCTAGGACCTGTGGTGCAGAGCATCTAGAAGAGCTTGTGGTAATTGCCCACCGCTCCTGCTTCCTCCATTTCTTGACCTCGACTGGTCCACCAGGATTTCTTGGTGCGCCTCCCGGTACTGTCCATGCACAAATGACAACGTACCAAGGTATAATCAGAGGGAACGCATGTATTCCAAAATGAGCAGCAATCCAGGATGTAACCACGCCACCTGTAATTTATGGATATGTGATCAATTTGGGTCCATCGCTGGCCAGCTACAGCAGCGCTCGCAGTGGCGCTTCGGCGCGAACTATGTCTAAAAACAGTGCCACTAAGAAACAACTGGTGCTCCGCACACAGTTGTAACAGACGCTCGCTGTTGTCAGTTCGTTCGCAGTTAAGCCCATAATTAGAACCCAGCTGAGCTTCTGAAGAGCTCAGACACCATACTTATACGTTCATACCAACTGCAAGTATAGTAATGTCCGAACTAGTAACATTGCGTAGTAGCGCGTTCACTTCGTGATAGAATGTGTCCGTGGCAGCATCAGAACTGCAGCCGGTGACAGAATAAGCGGAGTTCGCAAACAAACAGCATCTTGTACTACTTCGTGAATCAACCTTAGTTGATGTCGTCAAACGGTGTGCACACAAACGGCTGTTCACCGGAATCCAATCAGGCAATAATGGCTCAGCTTTGGAGCTGCGAATGATACATAAGCCAGCTTGACCCGTGAGTGTTGCATCGGCGTCTCCGGATGCGTGCAACCAATAGCGGGAGGACAAGCCGGGCGTAGTTAATTCAACAACCCCATTAGTGTCATTGATCCTAGTTTCGGACATAAAACATACCTCAATACCCAGTGTGTCCAACGTGCGTGCGAGTGCAGCCTGCCGATCTACTCGTCTTAGAGTGCAAATGTTGAAGGCAGCCAGGGAAACTTGATAGCGTGGCATTATAAGGGACAGGTTGGCGATATGCGTTCGGTGCGTATTGCGTGAAGGTGGCTGCAGATGTTGTGACTCCAGTGGCACTTCGGTTGCTGGCATTTAAGCTGCGAATTCTAGAAGAAAGGTTAGTGATATGTGTCGGGATGGGAGTAAGGGAGGCGCCATTAGTAGCATGTTTTCGCTCATCCGCCCTGCTGTATGCAACAGTTAAGTCGGCCCTTGATAATCTGCTCAACGGCTGTTGCAGGATATAGTTAGCGTTTGGAGAATTTGTCATGGTTGCAGGTGGGCTGAGATAATGCCAGGGTGCCTAGACCTAGACAGCAGGACGATTGTGATCCTCCACAAAAACCATTGATGTAAAAGCCTGTCCCCAAGACAGCGGGGAGTTGGCAATGGTTTAGTTTTACGGAAATGGACGCCGTCCCATTGCAAGCCCCAACTTTGAGGACCAGGAGACTGAATTTGTCTGACTTCTAACCTCTGACTATCCTGGTGGCAGTGATTCTCAGGTATCCTGGAGTCTCCTAATATTGCTGGTTCGTTCGACGGG